CAGGCTGCGGCAGGCCTGTGTCCTCGAGCGCACCCCAGCCAGCGCGGGCACACGTGGCTGTCCCTGCCTGGGGGACAAGGACGGCCAGGCCTTAGGTGCATATCGCGCATGTGTGTTTATGCACCTGTGAGCCTGTCTGCACCGCTTCATGCAGGTACACACGCACGCTGCCTGAAGGGGGTGCATTGCACGCGCATCTGTGAGCACGTGCACATGTACCTGTGCGTGTCTGCACCTCTGCGCATGCACAGGGTGGGTGCTGTGGGGTGCAAGAGCCCAGCCGAGAGCGCTGCAGGGTGGCAGAGACCAATGCAGCGGGCTGCAGCGTTCTGCGGGTGGCAGAGGCCGACCGGGGGGGCTGCAGGGTGTCAAGGTGCTGCAGGATGGCAGAAACCGATCCATTAGTTGCCTGGGTGCAAGACCTGCCCCACTCTCCCTGGTGAGAAGCCTCATGCCCCGCACAGCAGGAGCACTCAGGCCAGGAGACCGGCTGCCCGGAGCCCACCGAGCACCACACACTTCAGGAGTTAATAAGTTGTAGGGGAGGCTTTGGCAAAGGCAGGGGACAGGCCGGAGCAAGCCCGCAGGCACCAGCTCAGCGTGTCCTGCTGCTCACGGAGGGGGATGGAGACGGCGAGCACATTCCTGGGGAGGGGGGAGCTGCAAATACCTGGACCGAGATGCAACTGTGCGTGTCGGGAGGCCGGCAGGGAGCCACATGCACCTGCAGGGCACGGCCCAGCGGAGCCGGGGCGCAGACGCCCGCTCCTCCCCGCAGGCCGGGCCCGAGGGGGATGTGAGTGCCCTGGCAAGGCGCCCGCCTCGGGTCCGCCTGCCCCTCCAGGAAGCCATGGGCACCGTGGGCTGCGCGGTGAGGGGCTCTGTGTGGGGCCTGGCGCTGGGGACTCCAACAGAGTGCCCAGGCAGCCTTCCCCGCACACGCATAGTTTTTTCCTTCACAGCCTGTCCCCTGTTGGGGCTGGTGAGTTCACGGGAGTGACAGTCCCAGAGCAATTACGTGCACTCTCTGTTTCCTATAAACTCAAGGACGAAACATTCGAGCAGGATGAGCAAAGTCATTTATTGCCCAGCCGGGGATCCCCAGGGCGCAGCCATGCAGGAGGCTTGGCAGGTCCCTGCTCCAAGGCAGCAAGCAGGAGAAAGCAAGGCCCACAGGGGCAGGATGGGGGGACCACAGTCTCGGCGAGGCACCGCTGCTGCTGCGGAGGCCATGGGGGCTGTTGCCCTCCATGAGCAGAGCTCGCAGCTGCGAAGCGACGTCCCACTGCACTTTGCACGCCAATGCAAAGGTGCCTGAGTGTTCCCGGCGTTTGCAGGGCCACGGGCCGATAAGGAGCAATCTCAGAGCGGATAAAAAAGCCGACAAGGCTGTAATCTTAAATAAACTGCCTTCCTTTTGGACACGATGTTAAACGTGAGATCTGATGAAGAGTTACAGAAATAACACAAACTGTGACCTTCAGCATCGCCGCCGCAGCGGCCAGGCCTGCCGTGATAACAAGGGTTTCCCCCCGCACCATCCTGCACTCCTGCTCCACTGCCCCACTTGTAGAGCCCCGGGCAGGGGCAGCAGGGCCACCTCCTGTCTCGGCCATGCTCCTGGCCGCAGTGTCCCCAGGCCGCACGGCCAGCTCCCGCGCGCTCACCAGCAAGGTCCAAGAGCAGCGCAAAGCTGAGGGACGCACAGGCCCCGCTGCTCTGGGGTCCTTTGTGGCCACTTCCCCGCACCCCGCAGAGCGTTTGGGCACCACAGCGATGGCCACAGGCCTCACTGGAAGGCCGGGGCCGCTGGCGGGCGCAGGGCCGAGCTGGCGGCCGCGTGACACAGGGACAGCTGCCCGCTAGCGCGGCAGGCGCTTCCTGCTCCGTGTTTTCCTCTGGCACCCAGGCTGACGGGCTCAGGTTTCCTGCTCCCACCTGGGGGCATAGAGGATTCGGGCTGCAGGTTGGGGCTCATCCAGCCCTGGACCCC